GATACTTATAGCATCAAGAATATGACAAAGCTAAGATGTACAAAACTGACCTGCAAAAAAGGATACTGGGGAAAAAAAGATATTGCGGGGAAGGCAAGTGAGCAAGGGGCAGAGAATCCCAGGAGCAGCAGGAGCGGGGGGGGGGGGGGGGCAGGAAGGGGGAGAGAGAGAGAGAGAGAAGGAGAACGTGGGGCTCACCTGAAGCAGGGCTCATGCGACATGGGGCTCAAGCTCACCAACCATGAGATCATGAGCTGAGCCGAAGTCAGATGCTTAAGGACTGAGCCACTCAGGTGCCCTACTGGAAAAAATTTTTTTGCAATTTTAAAGTGGAACGATAATGGGAGACCCATCAAAGGTCCTTAAATACAACCAAAGAGATAAAAAAAATGGGACCTAGGAAGAAGTTAATAATTGACAGATTATTCATCAAAACAGATGAAGTGGTCTCTCCAAAAGAGACATAGTTCTATGAGAGTGACTTATACACTAGGGATCATACTGTGGTCTAAACATCTGAACACACCAGAAGTAACACTCTAGTGGTAATGAATAGGCCACAACAACTTCAAGTTGTTTTAAGGGTTATTCCTGTTGGTGACACAAAGAAAACTGCTTCTAAAAACATAATTGCCAAAGTACCAACAAAGTGATGAACAACTTTATTTTTTATACTTGAAGGCTGATGAAAAACCATTACTAATCCTATTAAAGAAAATCCAACAACTCAGAGAGGGTAACTATATTTACTCATTAAATACAATTTACATGTTCTACAACACAACATGAAAACACCCAGCATGCATGTTTAATCTCAGTACAATGGATTCAAGACCAAGTACACATGTTACAAGCATCAAAGCTAGATTACAAATTATCATAGTCATCATCATCATCGTCATCATCATCATCATCATCTTCTCGTTTTCTTTTCAATGCATTTGCTGATTCATTGGCAGTATTTTGTGATGACACCATGTTAGTGGTTATAAGAATGTTCTTGGACCCAATTAATGATGGATTAATTAGAACATTCTGAACTGCAGATGTTGCAGGAATTGATGCTTTTACAGTTGGGGACTGTGAAGTGGGCATCTGTACTGTAAACCTTTGCCCTGTGAGGGACATTGGAGTCCCTACTTTAGTTGACACAGACATGGTTTGTGGGGTTGGCGTGCCAAGCGTGGGAGTACTTGGTCTGCTAGTAACTGAACCAACACTTAACCGCGGAACTGTTATTCTTCCCGCAGAAGTAGATGCCTTTTTTTGTAAAGACTTAAGTCTATAGTTTGGAGCAGTCAAGCAATATCTATCAGGTGGCAACCTGGGGCCTGAATATGGCTTGATTAAGGGCAAAGGAGTTTGATTTCTTTGCCTTGCAATATCTAATAAAAAATCTCTTGGGGGAGGAGAGGTAAAAGACTGATCAGCACGACACTGGATTGCCAATCGCACATCATCTGCATCAACAGTAGCTTTCTTAGCATGGCTTGAATAAATTTTTGCATCATCTAGAATTGTGGTCACATATCGGAAGGCAAACTCCAACATCTGATTTATAACTCTTGGCTCATATTCTGTAATCCCCATATCCTTCAGGATTTGTGCCATCATCTGTGCATCTTTCGGCATGCTCTTGGGAGAAGCCATCTTGCCAGAATCCATGATATCCGTTGATCAGACTTTAGATCATTTGAAAAAAATATGTACATTAGATCAAACCTGAAATAGTTACTTTAGTAGCAACTGTCAGGAACTTTCTAAATTTTAAATACTGTTAAAATTGTGAAAATATTTAAAATTTTTAAATATTAAATCTTTTTAATTTTAATGAGGCACACTTAAAAGTCCCCTTTACTTAAATTTATGGAGTTTCCACCCTATCCAAATCATTACAGGATATACAAAAATGAAGACACAAATAAGGGAGTGATAAAAGGCTGGGGGGAAACAGTAAAATAAATAAAAACATTTATCACTTCAGAATAATGTTCACTTGTGTGCAGGCATGCAACTATCAAATGAATCTAAGAAAAAAAAGAACAGTCATGTCCTACTGACTGAGTTCAATAATGTGTCCTTCCAGTGAGAGCAATATACTATCTCCACAGATACGCTTAGTAGTACCCACACTTTTATGTGTTTGTCCATCTCAAAAACATTCTCCCCAAATCCCATCTCTTCATGGAAACATTCCCAATTATTACCACTCAAAAAAAAAAAAAAAAAAAAAAAAAAAAAAAAAAAAAAAAAAAAAAAAAAAAAACCCAAAACAAAACACAACAACACAAAACTATTGGCCAAGAGGGCAGGGGAGGATGGGATGTAACAGTCAAAACAACCAGAACACAGTATTATACACTTATTTTCTCTTTCTATGGGTCCTCAACAGAGCATCAATTCCTTAAAAGCACTGTCTCTGCTTTTTGTACCTCTCACAAATATAGTAGTAACTCCATTATCTACTCTCTTTAAAAAAAACCAAAAAACCAAAAAAACAAAAACTAGCACCAAAGTATCCCTTACCTTCTCGAGCTAAATCACCCACATTAATGTATTTCAGTCCTGATCTTGATGCAAGTTCTTTGCCTAGGGTGGTTTTTCCAACCCCTGGTGTACCTGTAAGACAAGCCACAGAAGAATACTGTTCATAAAATACTTGTTAGACTTCAGCCACCTATCTACCCTTCTTAAAGTGCTTAACAACTGAAATGAAAAATTTCCTAATTAGCAATCCTCTGTGAATTACTATACACTATGACCTAATCAAAGTTACTCAAAGCCTGCTGGATAGCAGAATCTTGCCAAGTATATCTGATCTATCAGGAGTAAGGCTTGGGTGATTCTGATACCAATTCACAGACTGCCTGCCACCATAACAGATACTCCAATAATAACACTAGTGATCTCAAATTACCATCATTTATTTGCTTTCATTTTTAAAAAAGAAATTATTCATGGAAAAAATTTAACCAGTATGAGGGACAAATCTCATTTCCACTACTGGCTCCACTACCTCTTCCTTAGAGGTAAACACTGAAAAGCAGTTTCTTTTATCTTTCTCAAGAAATCCTAACGCATATGTGTTTGTGTATACACATGTGTATTTATATATATGGCAACCCATATATATACACATATGTGCATATGTATATATATATATTACATATGTATTACACGCATCTTTATATAATAAACACACCATACGTTCATTGCCTTTCAGATAAATAGCAGTACTAGGCATTGTTCTTCACTTTTCCTTTTTTTACATCTATTTTATTTCAAAATAATCAAATGTGTAATTTTCAGCTCCGAACAGGTTAGAGCCAGTGAAGTTATAAAACTTGGTCATTATAATAATTAAAGATAACAGAGACAAATCATGCCTCCGTTTACAGGACAAGAACTTTTACAAGTCCAGTGTAATACACCAAGTTTGAACCCTGGACTATCCTGTGTTTGTTTGTTTTTTCCTGGACTACTGTGTTTTCCATAAAATGTTCACCTTTAGGTTTTTGACAGTACGGCTGGATACTAAAATACCAGGACCCTGGCTGACCCCAACAGTTCAGAAGTTGTAGTGTCGTCCCCTAAGGAATCATAATAGGTAAACAGATTACTATCTGTAGCTTTCAAAAACTGACAAGACGTGGGCGCTGTCAACAAGATTATGTTTTGTTAAATAATAAACTTCTACTGCTTTGTTGCCAGGAAGAGCGTCTCAATTTTTGTGTTCCAACACCATCTACACCCATTTGACTTTTGCATGAATGCCCCAAGATGCTATTAACTACAATTTAATAAACATTTAAACAGCTAACAATAGTCTTTAAAATCATAATGCGAAAGTTCAGTAGGCCTCCCGTATAACAAACGCCCTGCACACGGGTACAAAGACCCAGAAGGGACGAATCTATCATCCCAGGAACTTTAGTGCATCTAAACAAGAGAAACGATCAGGGATGCTCAGTAGGTGCCTTTTCTTTTTGAAAGGAAGAAAAAACAAACAAACAGAAAAGAGCTTCTGACGCTAACTCAACGTACACAGCAAGTTAACCAAACTATGTCACAAATATCCGAACCCTTTTACCCAAAAGTGATTATCAGACACCAAGGAAAATGAAACATGGCCAAGAAAGGCCTAAGGACGAGGCATCCAGCACTAAATACAAAATGACTGCCTTACATTATCTCGCTTAAAACTCTAAACACAACCCTAGCAAAGAAAAAAATCAACAGCCATTTTACAAACAAAAACCAGATTCCCAAAGATTCGGCAGAATCAGATTTCTTGCCAGAAAAGGGACCAGGACAGGTCTCTCTCTCTCTCCCTACCTCACCGAGTGACCTCAGGCCAAAAGAATAACGTTCCCCGCCCCCACCCCGCCTCCCGCAACGGTCGGAGGACCAGGTCTAGAGGCCGGGACCACAGCCACGCCGCACCGCCCTCCACTAGCCTCGAAACACCGAACGGCACGGCACCCTTTCTGGCGCCCGACGCCCCACAGCACTCAGGTCCGTAGCCTGCCCGCAGCCCAGCGCCTCCCCGCCGCGCCCCTAACCGGTCAGCAGGATGTTCGGAAGCAACATGGTCCTCACCGCGCTGGCTCTGGGCGCCTTGGCTCACGCACTCTACGCACGACAGGGAGGAGCTGAAAGGGGCGAGCTGCGGCAAGCGCCAGCGGCCTCGGGGTTCTCGAGGCCCTGCGCGGCGCTCGCGGCCCATCTCTACCGCCTAGTCACTGAACATTGGTTACCTGGCCTTCTATAGCACGTTTTCAGTGCAGTGTCCCAGGCTGGGGCACAGGTCAGGTCCGCGTTTCGGGTCAGGCAATGCGGTAGATGCCTAAGTCACAGGCGCCGTTGGCGGCCGCCCTTCTGCCTGTGTCGCGGAAGCGCCGACGGGTCTAAAAGGTCCCCGGGAGGCGGGACCTCTGAGAGGCTCGGCGCTGAGCCCGGGTAGGGCCAGGTGGTTGCCCTTCCGCTGGTGGAGAGCTTGGGCTCCTCCGCTCCTCTCCGCCCACGAGGGGGATGCAGCTCCCGGAAAGTAAGGCCGCCGCGGCTGCGGCTGTAGTATATGTATGTTCTAGAGACTCGAACCCATCTCTGCCTTAACGCCTCCCCGAGCTCTCTTCGCTCCTCCTCCCGACCTGCCCATCCCATTTGGAGATGAGAGGGTGGGGGTGCAGAACTCTGGCCTGGGGTCGGGGCAAGCGAACGCATCTCGGCTGATTAGTAGCTTTGACGTTTGACGAATGTCTGGTCTTAGTATCTCCCCGCAGTGTGTGTGGCGGGGGGTGGGAGGGTGAGTAGGCCAGAAATATTCTTGAAGGTCTTTTCTACTTCTGACGTCTCATTTCAGGAAACTGGCATCCATCATCTGGGACAGTTACTTTTCTTTTTTAAAGGAGGTAATTGTCAGTCTTGTTTCCAAAGAGCGACCAGAGTCCTGATCGTAAAAACAGTCTGCATCTTTTATTTCGACCTGCCAGCTATATTTATCCAACAGGTGTTTTTTTCCACCTATGTATCTCTGAAACTCCAAAGCAAAAACCTCTCTAATTATGAACAATTTGTGTGTGTTGGGGGAGGGGGGGTGTACAGTTTGTTTTATCGTGTATCGTTTACACATATAAACTGTGTACATCCAAACCATAAAGCCCAATACACTTTCCAATTTATAAGTTTGCAGACCTTAAACTTTGCTTCTAGCTAATTTAAAATTGGTGAATTCACTAGTTTATATAAACATTAAAGAATTATTAAAGTCAGAAAATACAGTGTTACCCGCAAATTTCCTAGTATGTTCAATTAAGGAAAACAGTTACAGTTATTATACAGTTAGATTTAAACTCTTTTTCCAAAATAAGTGGAAGTATGAATTTGTTATATGGTCAGTTGTTTTTTTTTTTAATTTTGTGGGGAAAAAAACCCTGCAGTGGTAATTTCAAATGAAGGAAATTTTAATTTTCAGCATAAGAACACAAATAGAATTGTCTGATTTTTTTTTTTTTACTGACAAAATGTGAAGTATGTGTTTTTTTCTGTTTTCTCTAATATATTATTGAGTACATGTGAAAGACAACGCTTAACACAAGTAGTTTATTTGACATTGTTGTAGTAATTGAAAGTACACTTTGTTGTAGCATTTTGACTTCGTTATATATATTTGCTATGTTGTCTTTCACTAGTTTTTGAACGTCTCTTATACTGTTGATTACAATGGTATATGTCACCATACCTCTATTTTACAGTTTTTCCTATTTTGAAATTTTTTTCTTTTTTTTCTCTAGGTGAAGTATACTTTAATGTACTACAGGTTGTATACTACGGATGGGAACTATTAAAGTTTATAATGTCAAAAACTTTTCTTAGACCAAAGGTATCTTCCACAAAGGTATGACACACTAAAATGGCCATGTAATAATTGTCCAAAAAGAATGGTAAATTTTGTGTATGTTCTTAATGACTTATTATTGCCATCAAAGTAACAATGCCCAGTATGTGATGTAATTAATGATCTAAAAATTGTGATAGTAAGTTGTGAAATGACTAAAACCACAATTTTAAAAAAGTGATTATATAATCTCAGTTGCAAAGAAAAGCCTGAAAACTCTTAAATGAAAGGTCAGTAGAAGAAAAAGAAATATATGAGTCTTAGTTGGTGTTAAAGTGTAACAACAAGCGGTGCCTCTTAGAAACCTTAGTTCTCGCTAAGGCTAGTGGGCAGAGTAGGATGGGGGTCAGGTTGTATCATACTCATTTGCAGGATACCTATTTTCTAGTGGTGGGTCTTATTTTTCTTTGATCTTAAATAAGTGACTAAACTTTGCTCTTTCTCAGTCTTTTTTTTTTTTTTTCCAGTAGATGGGAGTCCACATTTATATAAGAAATAAAACTGTAAATTGTATAAGTAACCTGCAGATCAGAACTATGAGATCGGGGTGCCTGGGTGGCTCAGTTTTTTAAGGCTCTGATTTTGATTTCGGCTCAGGTCATAATTTCATGATTTGTGAGTTCAGGTCCTTGAGTGAGGTTCTCAGTGGCAGTGTAGAGCCTGCTTGGGATTCTCTTTCTGCCCCTCTCTCTGCCCCTCCCTTCCTCCTGTGCTCTCGCACAGTCGTTCTTTCTCTCTCTGTCTCTGTCTCTCTCTCTCAAAAATAAATATACATATAAGAAAATAGAATTACGGCGCCTGGGTGGCCCAGTCAGTTAAGCACCTGACTTCAGCTCACATCGTGATATCATGTGGTTTGTGAGTTCGAGTCTGCATTTGGGCTGTCTGCTGTGAGCGCAGAGCCCATTTTGGATCCTTTGTCTCCCTCTCTCTCTGCCTCTCCCCTGATCTCAAAAATACATAAACATTGGGGCGCCTGGGTGGCGCAGTCGGTTAAGCGTCCGACTTCAGCCAGGTCACGATCTCGCGGTCCGTGAGTTCGAGCCCCGCGTCGGGCTCTGGGCTGATGGCTCAGAGCCTGGAGCCTGTTTCCGATTCTGTGTCTCCCTCTCTCTCTGCCCCTCCCCTGTTCATGCTCTGTCTCTCTCTGTCCCAAAAATAAACGTTGGGAAAAAAAAAAAAAAAAAAAAAAAAAGAATTGCGAGATCAGATTTGCTATCAAAAGGTATACTATAGCAAATGATATTTTTACATACTCTTAAAATACAAGAAAAGAGCCAAAATTGTAGTGCCACTAACAGTCTTGGAGAAGAGGAAATGAATTAGGTGGCTATGACTGAATTTTTTTCCCACAGGTCTTCATTCCTTTACCCACTGGTGATAATATTCCTAACTTTTTGTCCTTAAAGTGGGAGTGAAGTGTGACTTTCATTCCTAAAATACTTCTAAATCTCAACTTGCATTCCCTTAGCATTGTCTAATATGTGGTACACAACTATGGCTGAGTATTCAATGAAAATGTACCCTAGGTTTCCCCTTGTTAGCCAGCCACGGAATTTCAAAAGCCAGTACTAAGCTAGGTTTTTCTAGATTTACACTGTAGGAATGTTAAGAAAATTCATCTTAAAAATTTTAGTTACTGGGGCGCCTGGGTGGCTCAGTCGGTTAAGCAGCTGACTTCGGCTCAGGTCATGATCTCGCAGTCCATGAGTTTGAGCCCCGCGTCAGGCTCTGTGCTGACCGCTCAGAGCCTGGAGCCTGTTTCAGATTCTGTGTCTCCCTCTCTCTGACCCTCCCCCGTTCATGCTCTGTCTCTCTCTGTCTCAAAAATAAATAAACGTTAAAAAAAAAAATTTTTTTTTTAAATTTTAGTTACTAAAAAGAACTTTTTAATACTCCCAAATACTTTTAGGTTTTGTTTTTTTTTTTAATGTTTGCTTATGTTTGAGAGAGCGCAAGAGCACACAAGCCAGGGAAGGGTGGAGAGAGAGGGACACAGGATCTGAAGCAGGCTCTGCGTTGTCAGCATAGAGCCCTTCGTGGGGCTCGATCTCACGAGTGTGAGATGATGACCTGAGCCGAAATCAAGAGTTGGATGCTTAACCAACTGAACCACCCAGACACCCCTAAATATTTTTAGGTTTAAATTGCTTAATTCGTCATTTTTCTCTGTGTATCCTTACAAAGGATTCTAAAGAAAAGTTAATGATAAAGGGAACTGTAGAGAGACCAACAGTTTCTAGAGACCAGAAGCACATGAAATAGAACTCACTGATGTTCCTGTTGTATTATCCCAATTCTGTTTTCCTAGACAAATCTAAGAAACAGATCATCCTCCTTGGAAAGCCTGCCTCCCTTTATTGAAAATAGTATTTGCTTTACAGGCTAAAGAGAAATATAATCAAGTCGTAATTAGAAATTATTCAGGGCGCCTGGGTGGCGCAGTCGGTTAAGTGTCCGACTTCAGCCAGGTCACGATCTCACGGTCCGTGAGTTCGAGCCCCGCGTCAGGCTGATGGCTCAGAGCCTGGAGCCTGTTTCCGATTCTGTGTCTCCCTCTCTCTCTGCCCCTCCTCCGTTCATGCTCTGTCTCTCTCTGTCCCAAAAATAAATAAACGTTGAAAAAAAAATTAAAAAAAAAAAAAAAAAGGGGGCACCTGGGTGGCGCAGTCGGTTAAGCGTCCGACTTCAGCTCAGGTCACGATCTCACGGTCCGTGAGTTCGAGCCCCACGTCGGGCTCTGGGTTGATGTCTCAGAGCCTGGAGCCTGTTTCCGATTCTGTGTCTCCCTCTCTCTCTGCCCCTCCCCCGTTCATGCTCTGTCTCTTTCTGTCCCAAAAATAAATAAACGTTGAAAAAAAAAATTAAAAAAAAAAAAGGAAATTATTCATAGCGGGGTGCCTGTGTGGCTCATTCAGTTGAGCATACGCCTTCATCGCAGGTCCTGATCTCACGGCTCATGAGTTGGAGCCCCACATTGGGCTTTGTGCCGGCAATGCTACGTCTGCTTGGGGTTCTCTCTCTTACCTCTCTCTCGCTGAACCTCCCCCACTGGTGCTTTCTTTCTCTTTGACAATAAATAAACTTAAAAAAGGAACAAATTATTCATAGCATCAGGATTCTTAGACTGTACCTTCATAAAAGTTAAAGCTGATAAGGATTATTTGGATCAGTATGCAGTGGTTCTTAGTTTGTGAATGTATTAATCTGGTCAAGGCAGAAGTATCACTCTTCTTATGGTTAAAATATATAGATTTTAACATTCTATTTCCTTATTTAGTTTTGCTTCTTTTTTGGTACTTAATTTTAATATTCTTGTTTTAGTCTACCAATAAGTTTAAGAATAATCAGTCTATTCTATACTGGGAATATTGTAATTAGTAAAAAGAATTACGTTTGTATTCTATATTCCTTTAGATGGCATTCATCATTATCCTAGTTAGGTGGACAAGTATACATTTGTACCTAGCATGAAGTAAAAAAATAACTAATAGATATAAAGCCAGATTAAGTTGTGAGATTTTTGTTTGAGATATTGCAAGTATATGAATATATTTTTTGTAGCTTACTTACATAGGGAATAGAAGCAGAAAATATAATATTTACATTTCTTTTTTTCAGGTAACAGATTGGGTAGACCCATCGTTTGATGATTTTTCAGAGAATACAGGCATCTCTATTACTGCCACATCGTTACATGTGAATAACGCAAGTCACAGAAGAAAAAATGTGCCTTCCAGATTAGAAAGTAGCAGATTTCCAGCTAGAAAAAGAGAAAAGCCACTGTCTTCAGAACAGATTTATGTTCCAGAAAATTCAAAAGACTGTTTATCTGAAAACGAACCATGGGTGGATAAATACAAACCAGAAACTCAGGTACTAAGTAGGATACAAACAAGTGTACGTAATTTAATTTCAGGAAGGAGAGGAATGTGCATTTTCAGATGATTACTCATAAAAATCTGAATGAATGAATTAGAAAAAAACAATAGTTCCTAGGTTTTTTTTATGTTCCGTTGTTTAGCATTTCTCAAGTTCTTCCGAAGTTGAACCATTGCTTATTTGTCTTAGATTTAATTTAAACCAACATAGAATTGATCTGTTTATTTTTTCTTAAGTATAACACCTCCCTCTGTTTATTCCCTTCCCAAAATGTATTTGAGGATTTAAACAAAATTATAAAATTCCAGACCTGCTCCAAATTTTCATAAAAAGCTATCAGCGTAAGAACGGAATTTTTCCATAACAATATAAAAAATTAAGTGTAATAACAAAGGCTTTTAGTTACCTCATGTGTTACTTGTTTGCTAGTTTTTTCATTAAAAATGCTTAATTTAGATTAATGTGTACTAATGTACCAAAAATCCTTGGGTTAAAATTGTTTATTTTAAACTTGAAATTTTTAGCATGAACTTGCTGTGCATAAAAAGAAAATTGAAGAAGTTGAAACCTGGTTAAAAGCTAAAGTCTTAGAAAGGCAACCAAAACAGGTAATTTGATAAGAAATGTGTTTTAAAATATATTAACATCACATGTTTCTCCAATTTATGGTTGGTTGTAAGAAGTTAAACTTTGAGGATGACATTGTTCATTAAGTACAGATCACATACATTAAAAGTCTTTGGTTTACTGCTTCACGTTTTACTAAAAGACTCAGACTTTGAGTTTTCTCCTTTACTTATACCTCTTTCTCCCACTTATGTCCTCGTAAGTCATCATAAAGCATAATAAACCGGTTAGGGTGCTAGCATATTTAGCATATCTGATCATCTCATGCTGAAGCAAGAGGCAAATTACTTACTAGTTTTTGTACTAAATATAGCCTGAAACAGTCATTCATTTTAAGGCTAATTTTTTTGTTTCACTTCCTAATTCTGTAATTACTCTTGGCTTCCAAGCTAGAATATTCTTTCTCTCTCTCCTTTTTTTTTTTTTTTAAATGTTTGTTTATTTCATGAGAGAGACAGAGTGTGAAGAGGGGAGGGGTTAGAGAGAGAGGGAGACACAGAATCCGAAGCAGACTCCAGGCTCTGAGTTGTCAGCACAGAGTCCGGTGTGGGGCTCGAACTCACAAACCGTGAGATCATGAGCCAACCGACTGAGCCACCCAGGTGCCTCTTTCTCTCTTTTTTTAAACTTACTTTTTTTGAGATTTTTTCAAATATAAAGGAAAGTAGAATAATAAATGACTACTCATACGCCCATAAAGTACCCGTCATTTTCACTCTCAAGTATTTTAAAGTAAATTATAGATAAGTGACATTTCAGTCAGATTTTTAGAAACATCAGTATGCCTCTTTTTTTTAAATAAACATTTTCTTAATTAACTATATGTACCATTACTCTAACAAAATTAGTTATAATTCCCTAATGTTATCTAATGCTCATTTCACATGCACATTTATCCATTTGTCTCCAAAATGTCATTTACAGCTGATTTGTTACAACGAGGATCTAATCAGGGAACACCCATTGCATTGGATTGTTAACACCTCTTAGGTCTTTTAAAATCTAGAACAGTACACTTCACTCTCTCTTTTTCTCTAAGACACTGTGAAGAGACCAGGCCTGGTGATACGCAGAACTCGCACATTCTAAATTTGTCAGATTGTTTCCTCTTCATGATGTCTAACTTGTTCTTCTATCCTGCATTTCCTGTAATCTGGAAGTTTGAATTAAGGGCTTGATTAGACTCAAGTTGAACATTTTTGTAAGAATATTCTGTGTTGTATGGTGTATGTTTTATGTTGTACCATATGAGAAAATATGTTTGGTTTTCCTACTGTCTTTGATGTTAAGTTTGATCACTAAATTAAGGAAATGATAGTAAAAAATCTTCATTGTGAGAAAAGTTTCCCTTGCAACTGCCATATAATCTATGGGGAGAAAATTTGACAATGTTATATGTCCAGTTCCCCAGCAGCCTTTCACCAAAATGCTTTAGCATCCATTTGCAGTCTCTGCCTGAATCAGTTTACTTTGTTAAGATTGCAAAATGGTGATTTTTAAATTCTACTTTTCTATAATTGTTAGCTGGCAGTTTTCTATACAGAAGTTTGCCAACGTTAATTGGGGCTATGTAACTACATTTAAATACAATTCCAATTGGAAACACAGGATAGATTTTAATGGATTGCCTTTAATTTTCAACTTTGAGATGAAGGGGTTTGTGTTTTAGTTGCCTCCAGTGGTAACAGGTCTTTCTCTTTTGAATTGAGGTTTTTTCTGTCTGGTCTGTGGATCTAACCATTTGGTTTAGTGTTGAGATAATGTATTTAAGGTGGATTTGCAGTGTCAGCATTGGTATTCCTCTGCTGGCTCAAAAAATCTTCCCTCTCTTTTGTGAGTACAGATTCTTGGGCAGTTTCCCTGACACACTTCTTACATCCAGGCATTTTCTTAGCTGGGCTAATATTTATATCTTTTTAGTGTTCACTATGTTGTCTCACTTACCAATACTTTGATAATGTAAACATTATCATGTGCTAAACCTACTTGTGTTACTGTTAATACTCTAATGAACTTAGGTATGTGTGTGCATATGTTGGTATTTTGGAAAATATTTCCTCTACAATTTTAAAAGCTTCTTCCCTCTAAGAAGTTAGAGTGTTACCAATCATACACTCTTTATTATACAAAAGTCCAATGGTGTCAGTAATTACAAGACATTTTTATTCAAAAAAAAATTTGGTGACTTCTAGATTTTTCTGTGGGCAAGCTAAAATTATTTTTTCTTAAATTTATTGTAAGTACTTCAAATATGTGCTGAATTTATTTTTTCAGGGCAGCATCTTTCCTTCAAAATATGGTAAAACTATTACAATGTGATGAAAATGTATATAGGGGATATAGTCAATAATTAATAACTTTGTATGGTGAAATGATAAGTAGACTTATAGTCATCATTTTATAGTGTATAAAAATATCAAATCATTATGTGTACACTTGAAACTAATAGATTATGTCATTTATACTTCAATAAAATAAGAAAAAACTCTATTTTAGGCGATGGGAACATTAACACACAAGTCTTTATGCTTTAGTGTTCTACCTACCTCCCACTTCTCTTACTGGAAGCAAAGCTTTTGCTATGTGGCTGTGCTCACTGTGTCAAAAAACAAGACACTTAACTTTATTACATAAGAAAAATACATGGGTGCCCATGTTGATCTTCCTCTTCTTTTTTTAAAAGTAATCTGCTTGGGGCGCCTGGGTGGCGCAGTCGGTTGAGCGTCCGACTTCAGCCAGGTCACGATCTCGCGGTCCGTGAGTTCGAGCCCCGCGTCAGGCTCTGGGCTGATGGCTCAGAACCTGGAGCCTGTTTCCGATTCTGTGTCTCCCTTTCTCTCTGCCCCTCCCCCGTTCATGCTCTGTCTCTCTGTCCCAAAAATAAATAAA